TACAGTGGACCCTTGACTTACAGACGGCTTGACTTACAGACTTTTTGAGTTACAGACTTCTCTGGCCGCAAAATTTAGGTTTGACTTGCAGACTGAGATTTGACTTACAGACCAGAAAAAAACCAAAATGGAACAAAAACGGCCTGTTACGGGATTAATCGGTTTTCAATGCACTGTAGGTCAATGGAGACTTGACTTACAGACTTTCTGACTTGAGAACCGCCTTCCAATACGGATTAAGTTCTCAAGTCAAGACCCCACTGTAGATAGATGACAGGAGGCAGAGGGCACCAGGGACGGGAGGCAGAGGGAAGCAGATGGGGACTTTGAAGCCCGGGAAGCGAAAAGCCGGCAACGGGCGCGGAGCATCTTTAATAGTGAAAGGAATCAGCAACGGGCGCGGAGCATCTTTCGGCTTTCGAAGTTGTCCCCACTGCCCTCTGCCTCCTGTCCTCGTGGGGACAGGTGACAGAGGGCAGCGGGAAAGGGAGGCAGAGGGCAGCAGGGGCGGCTTTGAGTTTCCCACCCTTTCCCCCTGCCTTTCGTAAGTTGAAGTTCCGGCCGCAAGTTGAACCAAAATTTTGCGGCCGGAGCTTTTCATACCTCAGCATTTTCGTAAGTAGGGACCTTTGTAGATTGAGAGTCCACTGTACATGTCTTGTTGCATCACAGTGAGAATGAAGACAACACTGTTTCCTGAGTTAGAGGAAGGACAGAGAATTGTGCAGCTGAGCAGTTTGGCTCACAGTGTTTGTTTCTGGACCTCTTCTCCAGCACACACACACACCCTACCCCTGGAATCACCTCTCAAATACAAATTCAGAGGTTAGAATCTGATTACAGTGGTGCCTCACTTAACAGCGTTAATTCGTTCCAGCGAAATCGCTGTAGAATGAAAACGTAAAGCGAAAATAAAAAATCCATTGAAACACATTAAAACCCGGTTAATGCATTCCAATGGGCTAAGAACTCACCGTCCAGCGAAGATCCTCCATGTGGTGGCCATTTTCGGTGCCTGTATAGCGAGGAATCCGTCCCTAGGCACAGCGGGGAGCCATTTTGAAAACCCAATGATCAGCTGTTTTTGATCATCGTAATGCGAAGAATTGGTTCCCGAAACAGGGAACCGATCATTGCACAGCAAAATTCCCCCATTTAAAACATTGTTTGTCGTGAAGCAGATTCGTCCTAATGCGAGGTAATCATTAAGCAGGACACAACTGTACTGTATTAAAAAGGGGGAAATGCTTCTGTGATCACATGAAATAGTAGAAAGAAAGCTAGTCAGTACACGAGAAATAACTAAGTTGATTAAAAAGAGAATTTGTAGAGCATGGTAATAGCTGCAATTCTTTCATGGTAGCTATATGTTAACTAATGTAGGTTGTTTTATGCATCCTCCATTACAACAGGACACATGTCTGTGTAGTCATGAATTGAGCAGAGATTGTTTTGGCTTGTCAAGTAAATATCAGTTTACCTGATATTATATCAGCATTCCCATCTGAAAAGCATAATCTTGCGCATATACAGAACAGGCACACAGCTTTTTTTAAGATGCCATTAATAGTGAAAGGAATCAGCCTTCTCTTCTGCTTGAAGTGTTTGGTATGTAGATTTCCGTTAGTTAAAGGAATCCCAGTGTTTAAAGGTCCCTTATAGCTAGAGATGTAAAATGAAATTATACTATAGGCCTGATTCTGGTAGGAAAGCTGTTTCTGCTCTAGTGTTGTTGCTGCTGTCATTGCTTGTATCTACAACTGAAGTTACTTGTTAGCGCCGGCTTGGGTAAACCTGTTGATAAATGGGACTCATTAACTCAGTGCTCAAATAATCCTCATTAATTCAAGCTGGGATAGTAGCTGTATTTAACCTCTTTCATTTTCTAAGCATTGTTCAAAGGCCCAAAGTTAATACAGACCCCGTTGCTGTGTTCACCGTCTAATAGAATACAAACGGGAAAAGGAGAAACCAGTTAGAAAGCCCTCTTACGGTTCCTAAATTGGTTTTGACTTGACTTTACATAATATACACATATAACTCCTAGGGTTATGAGACACTTCTTTAAAAATGAATTATAATTTCATTGACATTTAGAGGGTTTTAGTAGGCTAGTTACATAGTACAGCCCAAATCACTAGATTTTCTCTGAAGTATCTAAGGAGCATGGTTGTCCTGGAAAAAAAAGGACCATATTTTTAAATGGTGGTACTTCTTCCACCGCTTAAAAATATATTGAATATAAGCATATGTTATATGACCAGGCAGAACTTCCTAAGATTACATTTCAAAAACAACAATGGCTGTAATTTCTCTTCAGCTTCATGTCTCTGAGATTTATTTAAAATTCAGAGGATATCAATTTATATGCAGAACTAGCCAAATTAGAATAAACGTGCCACACTTGAAACCTCAAACACAGAAAACATTAACATGAAGATGTCAAACCTAATTAAGGGCAGGCTTTAAAAAATTCTTGAGCTCCACTTGATGACTGCTATTTAAAGAGAATCCGTGGGCTGCAGAAGAATTTGAGATGAATCTCTTACCTTCTGTTTTGGTGCTGTAGTTCAAGTATACCATTAAGTCAAATCATCCCCTTAACAGAAAGGTTACTTTATTTTATTTTTATTTTTTGCAGTGTCAGTTTTCCTTTCATGCTTCTGCCATAAGTCACATAATGCAGGTCATCTTGTTAAATCCAAGGCAGCAAAACTATAGACAGACAGATGGAGGAAATTTTTTTAAAATGGTATGCTGTTTAAAAAAAAGCACCTGTTAATATTGAAAGAAGAATAGCAGTAGAATAACTTAAAGAGGATGAAGGTACTGTTCAAGTGGAAGAGGGAATAAGTTCTTTGCTTATGCCCTCCTCCAAATTTGGTATAATTTCCTCGGTATTGGGCCTTGCCTGTAAAAGGTTAAACAGAACAATTTACTCCACTTCAGAGATCATCTGTAGTCACTTAAGTATATACTGTCTTCAGGGAGGAACTCTGTTTTCCCTCTAAGGGCACACTTTACTTGCTGAGCCAGAAAGTTTTTGAGATCAGAGGAGGCCTTCAGATATCTTTCTTCTTTTGCTGTGTCAGATCCTGCAGAGGATGAAAACGCTGAGCTTTAGCAGGGCAGATCATACTGGGGACACTTGGACTTTTGCTAACTTTGGTGGGATGGGACATGCAGGTCTGGTTACGAGGGGGCTATGCTTCCATGTCTGTGCAAGACTTAGGGACCGGATTGGAACAGGAGCCTGAAAAGAAACAAGAGGAAAGGGCAAAGGATGATTTTTCTCTGTAGATTCCAGGTGTGGAAAGGATGGATAAGAAGCAGGTGGCCACAACTCATTTCTTTCTGATCAGAGGCCACATTAAGCAACCTTTGGGCCCCAACGTAGTTACTTGTGGATTAAAAATACAGTGGTGCCTCACTAGATGATGATAATCCATTCCACTGAAATCGCTGTTTAGCGAAATCATTGTCTAGCGAAAAGCATTTCCCCCTTGGAATGCATTGAAACCTGTTTAATCCGTTCCAATGGGGAAGAATCGTCGTTGTCTAGCGAAGATCGGTCATAGGAAAGCCGCTTTGCGAACCGCCGATCAGCTGTTTAAATAGTTGTCTTGCGAAGCTTAGGTCCCGAAAACACCCTTTTTGCGAGCACGGAGGGAGCTTTCAAAATTGTTGTCTAGCAGAGCACGGAGGGAGCTGTCAAAATTGTTGTCTAGCGAAAATCAGTTTGCGAAGCAGGGACCAAACATTGTCCAGCGAAATTCCCACACAGGAATCACTGTTTTGCGAATTGCTATAGCGATCACAAAAAGTCAATGTCTAGCGAAAAAACTGTCATGCGGGGTAATTGTCTAGTGAGGCACCACTGTATACAATGATAAACTGGTAGGCAGGTTTCCAAACTACCGGTCCTTAGGCTAGAAGCTCCTCTTTGTTGATCTAGAGTGCAAAAATATGTTCAATGTGCCCAGTGGGGATTCTGTCATTTCTCTTTAAATGACAGTTCCCCATGCTACACCCCCAACTTCTTTTGAAATGTCTATTTGCCATAGGACATTAAGGACTGTTGTTGAAGCGATAGATTTCCTGAGTTAATTTGAACACAGAGACTGAGCTTCATTGTACCTGGAGTCTTGGTATGTAATGGCCATCTGCTAATTCTGGCTTTCAGGAAGGAGTATTACTTGGTCTAAAAAGCACACTTCCAAAGTAGTTCATTGAATTGTAATACCACCTTTGCATGGGATTGTTTTTCCAGGACTACGACGATGGATATGGCGCTTCATATGATGAACAGAGCTATGATTCTTATGACAACAGCTATAATACTTCAGCACAAAGGTAAGAAAGATCATCCAGTACATTTAGAATGGTTGATAGAATGAGCATGTATTAATAAGGTGAGGGGTATTAATTTTGGCTTACAATCTTGAACTGCCTGACTCTTGTTAACAGGATAGGATTTCTTGATGCGAGAGTTAAGAGATAGAAAGCAAACTGGTAGCTGCATAGACTGCTTGCCTATCAGATCTGCTAGACTAGCCCGGTATTTTCCACTGATTAGTTACAGTTCTTTAGGGACTCAGGCAAAGATCTTCCATCACCATCTGATGTAAGGTTTCATATGGGACAGTCTGCCCACAAAGCATATACTGTCCCACTGAGTCTCTGTTTGCTTTAGGGAGATAATTCATTTGTCCCTGATTCAGTCCATATCTCCATACATTGGATGACCATGCATTTTTTTACATATTCAAGTCACATGATATAGATTGAAAGCAAATCAGTGGCCTAAATTCAGTTGTTCCCAACTAGAGTAGATCCATTGACTCAAAGATTCCCATGCATGGTGACTTACCATTCAGCAGGTGGCTTAAATGGCCAGTTGGAATAAGCAGCTGGATATTACTCAGAAACTCCCCCTTATGCTAAGACCAATTCGTCAGTCCCATGATTATGGGAACAAACTATACCTATAGTTTGAAGTGTGTTGGTCTGTTAGTATTTGATTGTATAAGTCAGTGGTCTGGAATCTTGGGTCCCCAGATGTTCTTGGACTGCAACTCCCAAAAGCCTTCCCCATTAGCTGTGCTGGAAAGGACTTCTGGGAGTTACAGTTCAAGAATGTCTCGGGACCCAAAGTTTGGAAACATGGATGTAAATGAATAATCTTGTAAGTGAGATTATTCATTTACATCAGTGTTTCCCAATTTATTTACATAAAAAGCAAAACAATTTCATGCTGCTCTAAATTTCATTAGGTAATTAGATGTGGAACCTTATTTATTTCATCTCCTGGCGCTACATGACTATTGTGCTAGCAGGTAAATATTAAAGCCAAAGCAGTCCAGATTGTCATTAAATCAAGATAACAGTATGTGAGGTTTCAAATCTTAACTCCTGACTTTTCCAGATGAGGGAAATACTGTACTGCCACCCTTCTTCCAGTTTGTCCCTATTCGCAAAAGTGCCTTGGATTTATTAGGTTTAGTGTCCAGACTGTTCAGCACTTCACAGATTTTTTTTTTAAAAAAAGGAAGGAGGAAAGGAGTCAGGAAAAGGAGCACATTTGGGTGCCAATCAAGCCTTTAAAATGCTGCTGCAGCTTCTTCAGATGAGCCTCACCCTTACACCAACCTGTGTCAGGCAGCATGACGTGGAGAAGCGTGAAGAGGTGGGATGAAGTGGCAGCCTCAGTTTCTTGGTGCAAGTGGGGAGCAAGGGCAGAGAAGGGTGAAAGGGCTTCTGAGAAGGAGGCTTTCAAAAATCAGTCCCCTGTCGTCTGATTCAAACCCAAACAAAATAAACCATTTCTTTGAGAATGGACAAACAGGTGTACAGAGTCACAGATCATGGCTTATGTTGTTTGGGGTGGAGGGTGAAGAATTCAGTGATACAGTGAGTGCTTGTATGTATGTATGTATGTATGTCTGTCTCTATGTATGTATGTATGTATGTATGTCTGTCTCTATGTATGTATGTATGTATGTATGTCTGTCTCTATGTATGTATGTATGTATGTATGTCTGTCTCTATGTATGTATGTATGTATGTATATCAGTCAATCAATAAGGATTATAATTTTGGAAAGTTCACACTAGAGCAAATCTGTAAAAGAGGCACATGAAAGTCACATTTTGTTGCTGACACTTTGTTTTGTGTTATGCATGCTCAAACACACTAAACAACTGCCTCTTTGGGTGTGGGTGGAGGAATAGTGTATATATCTTTCGTCTCATGGGTGAGGACAGCTAAAAGCCATTACAGTTTTTTTTATTATTCTTGTGCTCTAACTAGACGTACAGTGGTGCCCCGCATAGCGACGTTAATCCGTTCCGGATTAATTGTTGCTATAAAGAAACATCGCTAAACGGATCCAAAAAACCCATAGGAACGCATTAAACTTAGTTTAATGTGTTCCTATGGGGCCCTAAACTCACCGTTCAGCAATGTTCCTCCATAGCGCCGCCATTTTCGCGCCCTCGGTAAGCGAGGGCAGGGCGTGAAAACACTTGCGGTGGCCATTTTGGGTGTCCAGCGGCCATTTTGGAACCGCCGATCAGCTGTTCTAGGAATATCGCAATGCGAAGATCGGTAAGCGAAACGCTTACCAATCATCACAATGCGATTTTCGGCCTATCTTACCATCGCAATGCAGTCGCATTAGCGATCTAAAAAAAGATCGCTATGCGAATTTGTAGTTAAACGGTGCGCTCGTTATGCAAGGCACCACTGTATACCATTTTACTGATACTAAGGAAGTGCATTTCCAGCATATAGTTCATGGAAATGTTAGCAGACTTGTAAATGAATTATCTTTGGAAGCAATTAGAATGTATGTATATTGAACCTCTTGGGATTTGTGCTGGCTTTATTCACTCAGCTCCATTGACTAAAGTGAGAAGGATGATGTAACTCTTTAATGTTCAGGGGTAATGTTCAGTAGAAATTAGCTACAGCAATTTACATTTGTTTAATGATACAAGGCAATTCTAAGCCAATTCAGTGTGCCACAGAGAACAACAATTCTGACATGGATTTTGAAGGCTGTATATTACTGAATACTCATTTATATTGGACTCTAGTGGACTAGGACAATCTGTTTGAATATCAGTCTGTCACAAGCTAGATTTTCAACAGTGAGCTAAGAAAACAGAAAGTCCAGATGGCTGCCATAAGAGTTGGGCAGGCATATTTTACTCAATGTGTTGAGCATTAGTCTCTTAAAAACTGTCCTGTGATAGGTGACTTGATTTCCTATTAATTCGTAGTCTGCCTGGATTTTAAGAGGTGGAATTTCAAAGTCTGCGTAAACACTAACCTAGTCTCTTCAAGTTCTCCTGTTCTCTATATATTTATGGAACACTACTGAATTACATTATAATTCTTCTCGAATTATGATCCAGTGAGCTTACTCAAGATATAATCCCTACAATTCACTTCTTCAGATGGTAAAATGTTAGTTCTAGAGCTGTTAACTTACATATTCCCTCTGATTAGGTTGTAATGGGAAAGTGGTATTTCAATAAGTATATTTTTAAAGTTCTGCAAACAGCAGTTTAGATGCATTTTGAAAAGACAAATTGTGCTGAAATGCAGAAATCTGTTTTGAAAACATTGCATTACACAGAATGAGACTAATGGCCGGTGCGCCTTGAGGGTTTCTGGCATCTTCCACACAAGGGTTTGCAAAGACTATAATGGGGCAAATGCAAAGAATTGCAAATAAATCCATTGTCGATGTCAGCTCACTATTTAATGTTCTCTAGAATAAGTAAGATTTATCACTGAGGAACAATGGAATAATGGTGGGCTATGGAAACAAAGTCCACCAGGGAAATGTACTACATCATTTGGAGTTAGCGCTGCCATCTGCTTAATAGCAGTGGGATGACTACTGAGGTACTTATGATCAACCATTCATAGCAGTGACAGATGCTGCAGAGAGTTAACATGGCAGAGGATGAGGTTTGTTGCTAAAATTTGGATTATGGGGAAGGTTGCAGGAGAAAAGGGGAGAGTGATTAGTTACCCACTTAGTTGCTAGTGGGGGGAGTTTTTCCTCTTTTTCAGCCTGAACATTTCCAGTCTCCGGCTTGAACCTTGTGAACTTTGAGAAGCCAACTAATAAGCTATACAGTACTGTTGTTTATGAGTCTGCTAAAACGTGCAAGTTTTCTTTCCATTTCTTTTCTCTTTTTTTCTTTTTTCTTTTTTTTTTGAAGAAAAGATGTACAGTATGTATTGTGGGTATGATTTTGAGAAAATTAGTGTTGCTTTGGGAAGAAACATCAACAACCTCCGATATGCAGATGATACCACTCTGATGGCAGAAAGTGAGAAGGAATTAAAGAACCTTGTAATGAGGAAGAAAGAGGAGAGTGCAAAAAACGGTCTGAAACTCAACATCAAAAAAACTGAGATCATGGCCACTGATCCTATCACCTCCTGGCAAATAGAAGGTGAAGATATGGAGGCAGTGACAGGTTTTACTTTCTTGGGCTCCCTGATCACTGCAGATGGTGGCAGCAGCCACAAAATTAAAAGACGCCTGCTTCTTGGGAGGAAAGCGATGACAAATCTTGACAGCATCTTAAAAAGCAGAGACATCACCTTGCCAACAAAAGTCCGAATAGTCAAAGCTATGGTTTTTCCTGTCGTGATGTATGGAAGTGAGAGCTGGACCATAAAGAAAGCAGACCACCGAAGAATTGATGCCTTTGAATTGTGGTGCTGGAGGAG